AATAGTTATCTGATTAGAGTTTCAGATAGCCCTTATCTTTCTATAAGCGAATATGAAATATTTCAAATTCATAATAATCACAAGTGATGATTCATAATTTCTATTTTGTCGGATCTGTGTATGAATATGGTCTGGTGGAGATATTAGAATGTTCAGTGCATATCTTTTTCGTAAGAAAAAATGACCTAAGACATTTTAAATCATAACGACAACTGATAACTACAACGATAATACGTATACATAAAGCATGTTTTTAGCTTGAACAAGTTTATGCACATAAGGACTCTGGATATTCTCGTCGCATTGGCGATGTTTTTTTTCATGCATGTAAAAATAATAAGTCTTGGTAAAGATTGAACATCTTAAATTTTTCTCAAGTCATAATAAAAAGGTCATATTAATGAATATCACATTTCTATTTGTAACTGAAAGAAAGCTCCGGAAACGTAGAATTAAATTTAAGCAGACGAAAATGGTTTATGTAGGTAAAAGTAAAAGTATATTTATATTAATGTACAATGAAACTATAAACACGCGAAACGCTAACGCTACGATTTACAAAATCAGACATACTAGTCAATAATTACACGATTCTCACCCATCATAAAAATAAAAAATAATTTAAAGATAAATAATATAATACAAATGTTAAAAAACAAATTCTCTAGAAACGACACTAATTTCAATTCCATTTTTCCAAAATAACATACATATCCTCCAGACTTGATCACAATCCACGACCCATAATTTATCCAATTTTATTAATTTTTGTATGATAATTTTTTGTTTAATATTATCCTTCAAATTTTCTTTTGTTTCTTTACAATTATCATTTTTATTGTTACCAGAATCTTCGTTTCTTTCAACTGAATTTTTCTTTGATAATCCAATTAAGTCATCTGCATTTATCCTCTTTGTATGATATAAAACTATTAAATCCTTTGAAATTTTATCTTTTATGACCATTGATGGTTCATTTGTTGACGAATGTTTCAAATTATATTTTAATAATTTAGCAATTGATTTTTGAAATTGAGAGAACGAAATATCTCGTGGAATTTGTATGGGAATTTTGGAATGTGAAATTGTGGTTTCGGCATGTAATAAATGAGGATGAATATGTACGTTGAAATCAGCGCATTGAATCAAACATGAAATTTTTTCATCAGGTGTTGGATTTGGATGTCTAAGATCACGAAGAGGGTATGAGATACTATGGTGACGAGAACGAATTATAAAAGATTTATCAATATTATCAAATGTTGTGTTCGCTAAATCCTGCTTGTATAGTGAATGAGTGGGGATTACCACCGTAGTCAAAATTGATGTAGGAGTTGCTTGATCACCGCCATAATTTGTTCTAAAGTCATGGTTTGAAGATTCTTCAGTTGAATGTGAAGTAATTATGCTACTTTCACTAACATTAGATGTACGTCTTTTTGATCTCATAACGAAGAATCCGTTTGTTGATGTTGGTGAATTAGAAATCTTTGACCAAAATTTTTTCCAAAATTTGGTTTTTTTTACAGGTTTGGATGTTGGCCAAAATTGAGGTCCGGTCAAATCATAAATTTCTTGAGATAAAGAACTTGGAGTGGGTGACACGAGATTGTCGGTATAACGAAAGTCAGTCAAGTTAATTGTAGAAATAGAGAAAGGTAAATTGGTAAGAGGTTTCTCAAAACCACCAGGAATAAATTTCTTGTCAAAAATAGAAAATTCTCGAGCTTTTTTGTAATCAGACATTTCACTATATCACAAATTTATTCGTAATGATCTTTTGTAAAGAAAAAAAAAAAAATGGTGAACGTTTCAAAGCACCAATGTCAGGTAGAGTTAAAATAAAATGAATAAAATGTTTTTTAAAAGATCAATCTTTTTTTGGCAAGATTTCGAAAGCTAAAAAAAAAAGAGAGCTCAATTCAAAGATTTGTAGTATTCAATTTTTTCATTTGTCAATGTCCTTTTGTCTAGTTGATCCATCATCGCTTTATTATGTTACAATAAAGAAATTATTCAAATGGTTTTCATGGGTTTTGTTAGACTTTTAGATAAGCTCATCGATCTATCAATGATCATTGTTTATATATCATTTCGAGAGTTGTATTTGTTATTTTCATCATGACCACTATGCATTAAATTCATTGTTAACAGCCGAGGAGAATAGTTACAATAGTTATGATTATTCTGATAGAAATTTTGATCCTTTAGTGTGATTAAATTTACACGTTACTTTAGAATCCATCGCGTGACTGGCTCTTTTGTCTGATATTCAAAAAAAGAAAGATTAAAATGATAACTTAAGTTGGAAGTTCTTGATCTATTTATTTTTTTAATGAGCTTCTCAAAAAAAAGAAAGATTAAAATGATAAGTGGAAGTTCTTGATCCATCATTTTTTTTGAGAACAATTCATAAATTTTTTTTTTTAAAAAAAAATCGCCTATTTTTTTTTAAGAAACGACACATGAATTTTGTCATCTCGTGTAATTTCACATCAAAAGCGTGATTTTCAAACAAAAAGTAATTTCCATCAATAATAATGCAGCTTACACATGCTAACTAAATTTCGAAGAAAGATACTGCATTATGTTTTCGATTGACTAAAAAATAGTTGACTAAATGTTAAATTTGCCCTTCAAAAAAAAAAAGACAGTGATCTGTGCGTAAAATACTTTTGGGATGCAATTAGCGATACGTAGGAATTTCTAGTTATTAATTATGAATTGTTACGTAATGATTAAAAAATTAAATTTTAATTAATGTTATAAGCAATTAATGTTATTAATAATTTATAAATAACAATATGCATATACCGTAGTTATTTTATAGAAAAAGATTCAATCGATACTTTTTTTAAAACTTGCAGATTTTTTTACTATAAAAAATCGTTGAACACATCAATTAAAAGCTGAAATGGAAGATTCTATCACTGAAATATTTTTACAGTAACTATTATTGATTAATTTTTTATCAATACAAAATCATTTTTATATTAGAGTACATAAAAAGTATTGATTAATTCGCTGATTACATATTCTACCTATCGATAGTTTCTATGCGTTTAATTATTAATTGTTAGAAAATTATTTTTTTTATTCTTTGTTAACAATTAAAAATTAAAAATCCCCATCGCTAGATGCAATATTAAAAATGATATATCAAATATTAATGTTAACGGTATTTAAATTTTCCAGACCTGTATAATAAAGAATAATCCAGGTAACTATGTAAGATTTATTAACCGATCATGACTATTGCTACCCGGATGATTCGGATTAATTACAGTATCTATTATTCTTGTTTTCTATTAGGTAGTTAGCTAAACCTGCGAATATAGGCTAATATCATCTTTGGTTTTTTAATATTTCACTTGCTTTCAGGGTTGGCATTGGACAATGTCAAAATAAAATTTAATTGAACTTTTAGTCATTGGATAATGTAAAAAAATTATTTCATTGTACGTTTGTAAAATCTTTTTTCGAAAAGCGTAGTTATGTGATTGGATGAATGCCGGCTAGCCAAAGGTTCGGAAATAATTTCAATTAAAGGATTTTAAGTCCACAGAATACATAGTGAGTAATTTGAACTGAAACGATGTTATGCTCCCGGGAAGATTAACTATCATCGTAACAGTAGAACGAGCATCAGCCGGTGGTTTCCCGCCTGCTCGAAGCAGGCCGGCTGTTAATAGGAAAATGGAGACCACTGTATGAGAAAATGATAGTTATAGTGTTGCAAGGGGAAGGAGAAGAATGCTGATAATGATTCATTTGTCGCTTCTTTATATATTGATTGTCGTTGGTTTTTTCTGTTAGCTATATTCGCACGAAATTACTGCACGTGGCATGAATAAAAATTTTCTATCTTAGCTTCGCCAACCTCCTATACTTTGTAGGTTTTCAACTTTTTTTTTTAATTTGTAAATTGTAATATACTATAAAAGAAACATTTAATTACTTTAAAGTGAATCTCTTTTAATGGTTAGGATAGGGATAATGATGGGCAATCAGTCATTTTTCTAAAAATCCCGTGCGTGATTCGCGGGAAATGGGTCAAAATTTACTTCGACCTCGGAACCCGGCCAGATTTATGGCGCTGCCCGAATTATATAATATATCCCGCACTAGATGGAGCCTTATTTATTACACGTTTAAACTTGGAAATAAAATTCATAACATACATATGTAAGTATATATATAGTATATTTTATTATAAATAAAATATATTTTGCTAATTTCTGTTGTAAACGTGTATTTTATCCTAACTTCTGAATTTTTTTAATTCTATTATACTGTAGGAAAATGTACTGTTGAAAAGACCAGGGTCCATATCATTTTCATTTGAAACCTTTTTTGGGGTTAATTTTTTTTATGTACTAATATAATCGTAGGAAAACTCTCTTTACAAATATGGCGAAACTTCTTTAGAAGACCTGATCGTAGTTAGAAAGCTAGCATGCAAGTGGTAGCGACAAAATACTTTGATCCTCTAAAAATAACCGACATTTTATAATTTGTTGAAATTATAATAAACATTACATTACGTTCGTCACTTGGATTTATAATTTCTTTTTCGATTATTATTTTGACGTTTGCCTTTTTATTGACTCATCGTTCTGTAACCTAACTGTTCTTCGGGTGTCATAGAAAGCAATCTCTTTCTTCTAGCATCATTTCTTGCAGCCTTTTGTTCAGGCGTGTACGTAAATTCTTTTTTTTTTTGGGGCCAATTCAAATTTTATTCCCCGACATTTTATAAAAATTTTCTATAAAAATTTTCAGAAAGCATCATTTTTTCATAGGTTAGTGGCTTTATTTTTTAACAAAATTTTTTTCGCTACATTGTTAATAATGTTTATAATCAATCATATGGTGTGGCTCGAATGCATTATATTCAAGCGTTTGCTAATGTATAAAAGTGATGTAGTGTCATAAAAAAGTTACGAATAACGAGAATATAGTAAAGGTGTAGTAAAGAGGAGTTTAAAAACTAGCTTTGACTATTTGTTGTAATAGTACAATTTATTTACAATAAGTCTTACTTCATTAATAAACCTTTCTATTTCTTTATCACATTTTAATCTCAAATTTTCTTCTATCCTATCTGTTTGACTCATTTTTTTAATAATTTGATGTAATGCTTTGCTAGTTATAGCCACTTGCATATCATTTTTTCCATCTTGATATACTTCTGAAATCGTTACTTTAATATTACCATTTGAAAATTTATCTTTGCATTTAACAAAAGTACGCCTGGTCTTGATACGTGTAATTGTGAATAGATAATTAGAATTAGGGGGATTTCTTAATGTAAGAATTTTTGTGTCAGGATCGTAGGTAGCATTTTTTATAGAATTATAAAGTTCGATGGGTAATATTGTTCTGGATGGTTCTTGTGAAAGAACTCTGAGGTGAAAATCCAATGCTGGTTTTGGACTAACAAAAGAGTAGTAAAGAAGTTTATTGTTTTCAGCTTTAAGTTTACGAGGTATTAATTTACCATCTGATGTAATATCTGTAGAAACAAGAAAACGCTTCCGAGCTTTGATATCAATTAAATGAATGGATGCTCTCTGAATAATTTCAGAACTTTTCTGATATTCCAATTCAACCAGACGATTTTCAATAATCTTTGCTACTTCGAAAGAAATATGATTCATAAAAGTAGTTTTAGCATCTTTTCTATAACCGATCTCATATTTAAGGAAATCATAGAGAGGAATCAATCTTGAAAGATCAAAACTTTCTCTAGTTGGTGGGTAAAAGAGTTGCTTGCCGATATTTACTCTAACCTTGAAGTCAAGAGATCGGTTATCTGGTTTGGTGGTTTGTTCTATTATTCGTTTGGCAATATGTTCCACTGATTTTCTATCTTTTTCAGGAGCAATGATATTTGTAGTCCGCCTAAAAAGTCAAAATTATTTAGTTTCTTTTTATTGGTAAATGCAAATATGTGATTGAAAGGGATTAATATGTACTTAATATTAAGGTTTTCAAATAATGAAAACAGATCTCTGAAGAATGAAAATAATTTATCTATTTCGTTCATCTCTTCCCCTTTATCTAAAACGAAATACACTTTGTTCATATTATTCCTATCAATAATGCCTTCATATTTTGAAAATAGTATAGTTTTGAGTCTGATCAATGGCGGTTGAAGTGCGATAATGGCTTCTCTTGGATGCTTATAAGGTGCGATACTATTCCAGACACAATCATTGATCAAGTTAAGGGCTATCTTTCTGGCCTCATTCGTGCCTTTCACTACTATAGAGTTATTATTCTTATTTAGTGTGCAATGGGCCTTGGAATTTCTTTCAATCTCATTGATTTTAGAGTGATGTTTGCCTAGAATATGTCCAATAGACCTACGTGGAACTTGAATTGTTTCTGTTTCCATGACACTACACTATAAAACAGTTAAATAAAGAAATTGTAATGTTTAGGCTAATAATAGATCTTTATTCAGGTTGTTGATATGACAATTCAAAAATCTTAAAGGATCGAGATTTTTATGACTTTTTCTTCATTACTGCATTATGGTCATTTATATACATGTTTACATGTTATTATATACAAAAAAAGAAATACAGGCTAAGTAGATTATATTTCCATACACAGCGATGTTAATAAGGAATTGTCATAAGGTTAATAACTGATATATTAACAAGAGTTTGTACACGCATACACAATTGTACCAAACCCAGTTTTAGGTTGCAGATATTTTACTGGTTCGCATCAAAAAAAGTCTATGTGTAACTTAGAGATTCCATTGGTATCAATTATGCATATAGTGATTTTCTAAAAATGCTGCGTCGCGCTGTGGTGTAACTAATTAGTTTACAATGACACATTTACACAATTGCTGAATTGTGCTAAACCAGAGTTTTTAGGTTGCAGATATTACGTATATGTGTAGCTTAGAGATTCCATTGGTATCAATTAGAATGTTCTGGAATGCGTTGTGATGTAACAAATTCGAAAAATAACCATATTTCTTTGTGCTAATATACCCATCATGTATATCATGAAGCCGGATGGATAACTCGTAGGTTGCGTATACGGACTCTGTTTACCGTATTATTACTCATGTAATAAATTCAATAAATGTAGTTATACTACTTTGGAAATTAGACATACTAGAAAAGGTTAAATAAACTCATCCTCTTGTCTCTTATATGGGTAATGGACTAGGAAAATCCCCTTTCGGTATTAGCTGTCGAAGGTGGGTTTTCATAGTCCATTACCCATATAGTAATTTACTGTACGTAATAATAATAAACAGTCTTAGAAAGTACTGCTACGTTATACGGTAAAATAGTTATCACATTTGATAGTTATGACAAATAAACTTTATTTGTATTGAGCAGTACTGCAATTCTGTACGTTGTAAAGGAGAAAATATGCTGCTAAGGTGGTTTGGGGTTGATTACGCCAAATCTACAAAATATACCAGATATAACACATGTGAAATAAGTGCACTTAGATAAAAGAAATAAGTGTTATAAGTATCATAAGTGGTATAAATTAGATATATTCCATATAGCATATACAGTATATAGTCAACCCGGATATGAAAAATGGTGATTATATAAAGGTATGACTAATATAGAGTGCACTCTATATAGTTATAGCTATATTAAAAATAAAATTTTGTAACTATATAGAGGTTTTATATAATAATCCCCTGTCGCACTAAGTGTCACTCATGACTACCTTTATCATTATTTTTTACACGTGATTAACCATATTTATAATAATCA